TATCCCATTGCGTCATTGAAAACTGACTTACACCTCGATTCGCTCAGCTGGCTGCGTGGCGTAGTGGTTAGCGCACTCGCCTCGTGCTCGGACAACTAGGGTTCGAATCCCGCTGCCGGCCGGAATTTTTGGCGCGTTGTAGGTTAGGTTGTAGGTTGTAGGTTTGTAGGTTGTAGGTTTGTAGGTTGTAGGTTTGTAGGTTAGGTTGTAGGTTAGGTCAGGTTAGGTTAGGTTATGTTAGTTTTTGTTTAGTTTGGTTAGAAAGAAGCATCTTCGGGTATAGCGCCTTCCTTTGGTTGGAAAAAAGAAACACGCCCGCGCGGGACCTGTTGGACAAGTCCTGCTATGGTGCGGGCATTATCGCGAAGGAGCGGTGGCGAGCTTCCTTCGCCAATGACGTCATTTTGACGTGGCCCCCATAACGGGGCTCAGGGAGCTCGTTGTTGTCAGATGGATCCGCACCTTGCTATTGTCCCAACACCGGCTGTGAGAGAGGTGTGGCTGCCTTCAGAGGGAACGAAAAGTGCGTCCGCCTACTTGGTATGCTGAGAAGATCGAATGCTTCAATGCCTGTCGTCTCTGACTTTTGTTGCGCGTCCAACCATGGGCTTCTTTGGGCAGGTGTTTTAGGCTTTGCTTTCAATGTGGTTGATGTCAGGTTGAGGTGAGACCTTAGCTTTGGATCTGTTCTTTAGGTGTGACTAGTCTATTCATGGAACACACTTGCGGTCACCGGTAGGCGTTGGGTCCGAACACTCCCCGTTGAACTGTGCCGATCCCTGCGAGCCGATCCGTCAGACTGTTTTGCTCTGGCAGACGGGCGCACCCTGTGTATACGGGCCGTATCTGTCACGCCAGACGGCTTAACGGCTTAACGAGCTCGTTAACCGTTAATTGCCGCAGGTTTACGCGACTGGCGCTGTGCAGCCCCGCCCGGAGGATGCTGGCATTGGCACGGTACGAGATTTAGCGCTGTTTTACTGCTTTTCTTTCCGCTTGGAGACAACTGAGAACACTGTGACACTTGAAGCGGTGGCGGTGGAGATCTCTGACGGCACCTCTTTGTGTGGAGTTGTTGAATGCTCCAGAATACATCTCGGATCGAAACAATACAACAGCGGCTTAGACTTGCAGCTTTAGCTCTGGCCTCTGACACTAGCTGTGCCGCTTTCTATGCAGCACAGACCACCAAGTCGGACATCGCAGGAGTATGAAACGACCGGCGAGTAAGGAACCCAGCTCAGGCAGTCGTAGTTCTGACCAGAACGCCGCGTTGGCGGCAGAACGACGCACTCCTGTGATCCAATCTCACCAGCTGCGAACAATGTGCGTCAATATTGGACTCTTGCGTGTAATGACTCCGCGCCGGCGCTCGATCGCCGTGTGATTTTCAGTTATTGATGTCAGAGGGGTGTATGAGGTCTGAGAACGCTGGTGCGTGTAACTGACTGGTTGGCTCATGTCCGGACTGTGATGGCTCGTGTCCTTACTGTGACAGGGTGACTCTGAAAGGTTTATCGTGTAGCAGCCTGCCGCCTCGTGTCTGGCTAGGCGCGACACAGGATGGGGTGTGACGGTGTGAGCTATGGTGTTTGTGCGGTCCATCAGAGCTCGAGGATCTCAGAGGAGTGGTGTCCTGATGCTGCGGTTCCTGCTTTGGAAGGTCTCGCCACCGTTTTCTCCGCTGCGGTGCTGGATGGTAACTTTGTGGGTAATATGCAGATGCACACTTGGATGGATGTTGTGCGATAATCTGTTAATGACTGTGCTGTGAGAATGCTTTGACATACTGGCATTGGTGACAAAATAGAGATTGTCTGTTGCATAAATTTATATCACATGCATAAGTTACGCAACTTTATACCAATCTGGTATAACGATCCAGCTTTAGCCAAGCATGCAATAGTCATTCTTCAATCTAGTCATTGAAAACGAATCATGCTCGCCCGATGTCCTCCTTATCCCTATGCCCTCCCTATAATATTGGTCTTCATCAATCAATCCATTCACAGCATTCGAACTAAATAACAAACCTTATCTACACGAAGCTGCATTCCCTCTCCATCCTTGCGCTTCGCGTGCGCATCACCGACGCGTTGTGTCTGCCGCCCAGAATGAATGTTACCGCACCACGCCTGTTTGTACTGCGTTCGTCTGAGAAGGCCCTTGTGTTGGAAGGGTGGAGAACACTCGGGTACGAGACGCAGCTGCAGCAACGCCAGGGTGAACCTGGAGATAGCTGAACTAGTGGCGGAAGGCGCCTGCTGTATCATTGTTAGGCCTCGAGATGTGTTTGTTGTGATAGTTTTTGGGGTTTTGAGGTGAGGTGTCTAATGGTGACGATGATAAGTGGTCTAACTGATCAGGAGATGACGGAATGTCTCTGCAAATTGATATTGCCATTTACCTACCCTACGGAAGTAAGTAATCGTTATCGTTAGTCTGGGCGCTATGCACGATGAGATGCTGATGTGAGTAATGATGCATTGTCAGTTTCAAGTTAAGAAGAGTGTTAGTGTATCAAAACAAAGTGAGACCAAAGGATAAATTGGATGCGTAAATTACCGAGGCCTTGTGGAAAGTTCGAGCACTTGGTCACTTGAAGCTTCTGATGTGTAGGCTCGAAAGCGGCCGCCGGGCGCAGTTTAATAGGCTCGCCTGTGGCACTAGTACAGGGCATCCCCATCTGGCTGAACGCAGCTCAATCCAATCGCAGGCTGTGGAGATGTCGAGGCCCTCATAGCTGCGAGCTGCGGCGAGCTCCCAATGTCCTGCGGGAGCGGGGTAGTTGGTCCCCAGGGAGTCGACAGACGTCTTCTCATCAGCGTAAAACGGCCTCCAGTCTCGGCCACTGCTGCTAGAGACGAATTTTCCCGCACGGATCTACGAATCTTCTCCAATCGAATGTAATGCATTGGAGGACCTGTTTGGTGTATCGATTTAGGCTGCGAAAGTATTTTAGTTTTATCGATTCAGTGTTCCCGTAAGGAGCTATGCTAACAGCTGATGCTAATCAGCCTTAGCTGGTGGCTCAGTGAAGCCAAAGTTTGATTTTGAAGGCTCATGAGTTCAGTGTTTATGTTAGTCATGTGGATTCTGTGTCAAGGTCTTTTCGTGATGTGTTCTTACGGTGCTCTGTACTTTTAGTGTTTGAAATGCGTGCAGGAGGATTAACGTCTGTTTCCGTTTCTTTTTGGGTCTTCTGGCTGTCGTTCAAAGCATGTCAACATTTATTGCTAGTTCAGTTTCCAGATAGGTATCCAATAAAGGTAGTGTACATCAGTTGTTTGGTCTTAATCCTTTACGGATGCTGTCAGTTTTGTAATGCCCTACATGGCGCACCATCTGTGCAAAGCTCTCGTGAGAGCGTAATCCGTCACTTAGGGTGTTTTCGTGCCGGATGCTATGGTAATCTGGACTTTATGGCACGTCCGTGTGTCTTCAGATTAGCGAATTACACTGGCTGAAAAGCACGAGATGAGTGTAGGTGAAGGCGGTTTTCCTCGCGGCGCCGCGGCGGATTGGCCGCCTTTGTTGTTGAACTGGCTCACCCGCTCGCTGGCTTTATCAGGTGATCATCTCAGTTTGATGGTGTGATGGCGTCTTAATCTCCCCTCCCGGGCCGCCTCTCGCGCTGCTGGGTCATTCCCTCTTTCCTCCCCTCCCTTCCCGAGCCCGTCAAATACCACTCAGCACTCTTTTGTCGGTCATCGCCAGCCGTTTGTTTACCATTTTCTTATTTCTTCTGGCGGGCCCCGGCTGCCGGCTGGCTCCATTCAATGGGCTCATAATGAGCCGCTGTGAGTCGGCTGTTTTGCCGCGGCGTGCCCGGTGAAGCGGCAAGCGTCCGGTGCTGTTCTGGAGTGTGTGTACAGTGCTATTGTGAGCAGGACAGGCGGCGACAGCGGGCGGGCATTGGTCTGAATGGGGCGCACAAAGACCACCCCTGAACACGAGAGGGTCGGGCTCGGGTTTGAGAGAGCCACTCTGTCAGAAGACGTTGGTCTCTAGATGTTTGCCACGCGGTGATTGGTTGACAATGAGACTTCTTGAGTGGCAAATGGACAATTTAGAGTGAGGAATTCCAAATACGGGACGCACGGGGTGGAATCCTAATGGGTTGGTGCCTGCGCATCGTTTAACGGCCATTGAACATGTTGTCCAGCGGCCAGTCCTAGATTTTGTCACTAGTACCTATCTTGCCAACAATACCTGTTGGTAGACTTAAGAATACTTCAATACAATGGTAATAGATAAAACATCCAAAGACGGAAGCTTGTCTTTAAAACAGTTGAATATTTAATGGAAGATAAACCATCATTGCAATAACAAACAGTGCTATCGCTCATCATTGCAGCAGCGGTGGTTCTGCACTCATCCGTCATTGTCTGTGTATGCTAATGCTGCGTGTCCTGGGCAATTAGCATAGCATTAGCATGGCTCGGGACCGAAGACCACCCGTCGAGCTTCGGGTGACGTCACTCATTAACGTGGTCGCGGATAGATGTAGCACCGTCTAACGAGAGAGGTAATGTATGGGGTGAGATATAGCTGTGCGGTGCGGCGGTCTATAAGTGGTGGTGGTGGGACATGACTGTCTGCACACTGCACAGAGACGTGCTTGGTAGGACACTTGTACGTGCGACTTGACACGGCTTGACACGACATCTGACACTGTCGTGCGAGCTGACACAAAACCTGTTTGCACTGTGATGGACAATTAACTACATAATTGTGAATTGAGAGTTATGAGATACATAAAAAGTGCGTTGATTAAGTTTTTCTTGTTTCTCATGTGGATGTAGTATCCATTATTTAAGTTGTTAGCAATTTGAATAAGAGTACCTTTTCAACCACCTGTAACCAATACAATGAAATACGAGGTTCAAAGAGTTCATTGATGGCACGATAGTTTTCAAGATGTGTGCCAAAATGGTGGTACCTTTGAACAAACGGCATGGGGTAAATTTTACTTCAAAACTGACTTACTTTCCGGGGTTTCAAGTGCGCCGAAATAAGTCAATGAACACCTCAGTTAGCAGATAAACATTTTTATATAATATTTACTTTTATGGCCGGTTTTGATTGTTGACCTTTATGTCAGTTCTGCCTTTATCCCACTATTTTTCATCTCTTTGTGATAAAGGTAGCGTGATGTTTTTCGCCATTAGTATATGATGATATGCTTATCTCATACAAAATAGCGTCATGGAAACAAGTTATTTGTGCCTAATTCTTTCATGTTTTGTCGCCGTTGAATCAGCTTCTGATTTTCATCTCCTCATCTTACATCAAGGCGATATTCACTCTCGATACCAGCCCGTCGATAGCCTGGGCATCACCTGTGCCAACGAGGACTTCCAAAGAGGTACTACATGCCACGGTGGTTTTGATCGAGCCGTTGATTACGTAAAGCGTGTCAAGATGGACCCCTATACTAGAAATGTTCTCGTCGTCAACAATGGAGGGTTTTTCTACGGTGAAATGTTGCATACCATCTTTAAATGGAAGGTATCCGCAGATCTTGCAAGTATGATGCCATACGACGCTCTTGCTTTGGGCGACAAGGAGTTTCACGGTGGTCTAGAGCAGTTAATGGGTTTCATTAGGTCGTTTCCTCCAAATCTGTTTGTGTGCACCAATCTGAACTTCGATAAATTTAATGCCTCTATGCGTGAGGAGTTGGCCAAGTTGTGTCCGCCACACCGGATCCTGACGATCGGCGACAAGAATATTGGCATCGTCAGCTACCTGACGCCAGACGTCATGGAGCCCTTGAAGGTGCCAGAGGTTCACATCGAGGACGAAATCGAGGCACTGACCCGCGAGGTGGCTGTGCTGAGAGAGAAGGGCATTAAGCTGTTTGTTGCGCTCGGTCACTCAGGCTACGAACGTGACCAAGAGATCGCTCACCGCGTGCCCAGTCTGGATGTGATCGTTGGGGGTCACTCGCACACTCTGCTCTGGCCTGACCCCATCAGTCACCAGGCAGCCGGGGTGCCCTCTGACCCAGAAGACGCTGGGAGGGTGCGTGGTCCCTATCCAACAGTGGTGGTGCAGCCCAGCGGGCGACGTGTTCTCCTCTTGCACGCTTACTTTGCCGGCAAGTACGTCGGCAATATCAACATTACCTTCAACGCTGATGACGAGGTCAAGGACTGGTGGCCGCAACCGCAGCTGCTGTACGAGAGCATGCCGCAGGATCCAGAAACCAAGGCGGTGTTGGATGACCTGGTGGAGCAGATGACGAACAGGTCACATGAAGTCATCGGTCACTCTCTTGTGCAGCTCGTCGGCAGGGCCGAGATGTGCTTCCAGGAGGAGTGCAACCTGGGCAACCTGATGGCGGACGCCATGCTGTGGGCGCTGAGGATGTACGTGCCGGACGTTCCGATTCAGCTACCTGTGGTGGCCATCGTCGATGCTGCCATCGTCCGCAACAATATCCAGCTGGGGGTCGTCACGCGCCGCATGCTCACCGAAGCGCTATCCTTCCGTAACCTGATTGAGGTGATCGTTGTGAACGGCAGCACGCTTCTGGCTGCTCTGGAACACGGTGCTTCGGACATCGAACACAGCAGGGGCAGGCTACTCCAGGTGTCGGGGATCACGTACAAGGTGGACATGTCGCACCCGCCCTACCATCGTGTTAGTGAGGTCAACATTCTCAGTGCTGAGGGCATGGTGCTGATCTGGCGGCCCATCAACGCGTCAAGACACTACCATGTAGCGGTCAACGACTACGTCGCAAACGGCGGACATAATTTTCACATGCTGACACAGCCGATAGAGAGGCAGAGCTTCGGCATACTCGACATCAACTTGTTAGAGAACTTTTTGAAGAAGACGTCGCCGGTCTATACGCACGTGGGCGATCGGCTCAGGGTGTTTCGACCCGAGATCAAAATAGATCTGGGGGAGGTCTACGATCACGATCACGATCATCATCACTCTGGGGCTAGCCAAGTGTTGGGTGATCCGTACAGCCTGCAACTTTGCGTGTTTTTCCTGGTTGCCTGGTGTAGAGACTAGAGACTATTCTCATAGTATATGTATTGAGTGCTCGCCAACAAAATTAGATTCTTTGAACGGGCCTCATCTCATTTCGGTGCATGTCGATAAGCATGTTTGATCATCACATCATCTTACCTCTCAAATATACATACCCGTGCCGAACGGGAAAGGTATTCCTCGTTCCTTTTCTTGAATATGGTCTTAAGTCATGAACTGGTGGCGTTGATTCAGCTTATTAACTAACACAGACTGGGGCCGTATTCATGCACAGGGCTTAATAGGATACTTGTGTTCTTGTCTAGTAGGACACGACACGACACTTGGCACGGCATTTGACAGTTGACTTTGCCAGGTCAGCTAACACAGGACCCATTTGTCCAGTGCCATGAATGACAAGTTGCATTATGGCGCTCCTGTATCTTGTCTTTCGTCGTACATACGAGTTGATGAATGTCAGTATGCATAATTAATGACGGCATGTCATTTCTGCTTGTATATTGAGGTAGTTAAGTGCTCTCTCTCTCTCTCTCTCTCTCTCTCTCTCTCTCTCTCTCTCTCTCTCTCTCTCTCTCTCTCTCTCTCTCTCTCTCTCTCTCTCTCTCTCTCTCTCTCTCTCTCCCTCTCTCTCTCCTTTCCCTCTCCCTCTCCCTCTCCCTCTCCCTCTCCCTCTCCCTCTTCCTCTTCCTCTTCCTCTTCCTCTTCCTCTCTCTCTCTCTCTCTCTCTCTCTCTCTCTCTCTCTCTCTCTCTCTCTCTCTCTCTCTCTCTCTCTCTCTCTCGCTCTCGCTCCACACACTACCATCATCTACCACCCGTCGAATCACAACGGGCCCCCTATTGGTGATATCATTGTCTATGCTGATCTAAGACAGCCATCCATATACCGTACATCATCGGTAGGTCGTTCATTTGTAATGAACTTGGGCTGCAGGTCACTGTGGAAAAACAAACCAACTGGTCTGGTCGTCAATGCTCGACTACCACACGCGGACTGTCGCGGAAGCGATCGGAATGAATGACTGAAGCACGGTTTGCGTTTGTAATGACGTTGATGCCGGTAGTTTTGTTTTTCAGTTGATTAGTTTTCCACTTTCTAGCTTGGTGATATTCATATACGCTGGAGACACGGTTTGGATTGTATATTTTGCCTCGGTTCTCCCTCCAATGCAGAGTTGCAAATGCACATCATGGTGATTAACATTTCATCGTCACATTTTTTATTCAATTCAAAATCCAAAGCTTCGCATTTCGCAATCCCATGCTATATTTCCATTAAATATCCGTGACTGGCGTTTTACAGCCTGCGTTCTGGTACTGCAGAGCCGGTGGCCGTATGAGGCTGTGTATGGGCCCGGCCGGGAGAGCCATAGCTTAGCCGCTCTGTATACAGCTGTCAGCGCTGAGCTAACAGAACAGCTGAGCAGCCTGTGAGCTACCCAGCTGCCGCTGCTCTTTGGGCTTGACGAGATGTGCGGAGACTGTGGTGTACTCGGTTTGTTGGGCTGAGTAAGACGGTGTTCTGTGCTTTCATACGCGGGAATACGTTTTGTTGAATTGGTTGTGTTGTGAGGTTCGCTGAACTTAGAGTTTGAACTGAGTTTGTTGCGTGTTGAGTTTTGCCTCTGGAAGAAGGGAAACGCTTTCCCAGCTCGACGGCACTTGACTGTAGCATACCGGCTTGTGCAGTGCAGATACAAAATTTGACGTGGTGAACTATATTCTTTCGCTCCCCTTCTACTGACGCGCTTCAGCTAAGTAGCTTCAGCTGACAGCTGGTTTGATAGACGTGGTTTTGATATTACGCACATCAGATACTTCGGCGACAGCTACCTATGCGCCATACGCTATAACGCACGCTGGGTGTGTGCTGTTGATGCCCCGTGGTTGGCCCTTTTTTCGAACACTCGACTAGCTGACTGGTGGATTTGTTGACATTTGTATTCTCGGCACGCTGGTTTAATGTCTCCCCTACCTCGGGCGATAGCGGCTCACTGCTCGCGTTCCGCCTTTATGGTGCATTGTGTGCCATCGAAGCGAGGCGGAAGGAACACAACGCGGGATAGCGCCAAAGTTGGGCGCCAAAATCCGACGCGATGGTTTTTGTTCTGCCGGATTCCCATTTTCTTGAGAGGCGAGGCTTTGCTTGCTCAGACACGTGTGAAGTTTTGCAGCCGGGGAGGCAGTGGCTAAAGGAAACGATCTGCGAAAGTTGGGCATCAGATATCAACCTCTTTGGATGACAGGCGTAACTGAAATGATGATGAAAATGATGAAAATGATGAAGACTGGCACTTTTGATTCGGCATGATTATTTTTTTTTCAATTTCCTTCGTAAATCAAAATGGTATACATATTACGCATTGCAATTTGCATGCTATTTTGTTGCAGCATATGGCATTTATGGCCGTTTTTACAAAGTGTTTGACTTTGTTAAAGGCAGCTTTGTTGACAAGTAGCCCTCGCCGCACCCGTACTTAGGCCTAACGACTTGGATGCGGCAAAAAGTCTAGACCCAGCGGGATTTGATCCCTCCTCTTCCGCCCCGCACAGTCAGCGGTCTGTAGCTGGCAATCAGCTGACTGCGGGAGCCGTGATACGGCGGTTCTCAAACTCAGTGGCCGCCATTGACGGGAGCCCCGCTGTGCGTTGCATGCCACTGTCTGGCATTTATTACCATCGTATACCATACAGTAATGACCGTATAAACTAGTTTCATGTTTTACTGACTGGCGCCATGCGGTGAGCAGCTTCCAGCCTTGTTGCTTGGCTCGTACTTTGGGGTTAGGCTGTACTCGAAGAACAAAGCATGACGAAGAGATAGCTGTACTGCCTGTAGACGTGGGCCATTTTACAACGGTTCCATTGAGAACGTATTGCTGCCCGACTTAGTGCTTGTTGTGTCGTGAGGTATTATGTCTGTTCGATTTACTGTCATGTCCGCTAAGCTAGGGGATTGTAGCCACTATCCAGGCGCTTAAGACCATGTGACAGAAATGGGGCTCATGGTTTGCCGAACTGAATTAGTCACAACTCATAGGAAGGAACGATTGGGTGCTCATGAAAATAGACGTCATTTTTTATCAGCCTCGGCATTTGTTGACAATGAGCAGTAGGCCGAACGGTGTATAACCACCTGGAAACGTGTCATTCCCATGCGTTTATACAGCCTTCTACATATATCACATTTACTGTCATTCGTTTTCAGCTGATAACTGCAGCACGGCATATTTATCGTCATTTTACAACAAACGCAAACGGAGCACGATGTGCATACGTTTCAATGCGGATGATTACGAGTGCCTAAATAGTTATTCAGGGCGTAGGATGCATTGACCTTTAACACTCTTCGTAGGTTTTCATATTCGAATTTCGTGCCGTCCTCTTACTTAGTTCAATTATCTCTATTGCATTATGTGTGCAGCGGCCAGCGACCTTTGCGCATAAGATGTTCGCGTCCATCCCATACGCCCTAACATGAAACATTTATTCCCCAATTGTCGAGATTGCCAGTAAAGTTAGCTCAGGTGGCCTGAGCCGGCCTCTGGCGTTTTATGGCTACGTAAGTCTATCGTGTGCTGACGTTTAGGGTTGGTACCCGTCACCACCTGCTCTATACCGCTGCATTTATGGAGTTAGTGGGTATAGTGTGGTCCGTGCCTTTATGGAGTTATTGACTCTCAGGGAGTTGCCGATCGGCGAGGGTCATATTCTCTTTCCCATCTCAACTAGTTGTAGGTTTTGTAACCTGTTTATTGCCATATGAGCTCCCTATTTTCCATTGCTTATACCATACCATGGCTCCCTCCACAAAGCTTCGACACTTCACCAGACACAACATCTTCCAATGACCACTCCATATCAAATCTCCCCGTTACCCAGTAGCAGTACTCCATCACATCTCCCTCCACACTTGCAGCGCACAGTGACCGTTGTCCTACCCCCACCGACCCATCCATCACATGTAAACCAACGCCTCAGTCCAGCCACCACGGGGTACCCTGCACCCACCAAGGACCCTGGAGCGCTCCGCTGACACTGCAAGAGCGTCCCACCGTGTCGGACGGCAGACCCCTGCTGTCGGCTGGTTAGGCGCCGCGGCGAGCAGCGACGCGCACCGGAGCCTAATGTGGCGCAGCAATGTAGCTAATGTGGCGCACCGCCGAGGCGGAATGCGCCGCTTCATTGCGGAGGAATACGTGAGGAGGTGGTGGACGGGCTGGTGGTTGTTAGTTTTGTTATCGATGGGTATGCTGTGGTTGATTTATGAAGCTCATTTTGATTCGATGATACTCGATTTCTGGACTATTAGAACGAATGTTTATTTCAGAAGCTACGTCCTGATTATTCCCGTAAAATAAACGAAGTAGATCGGGCCTTCGGGCTCCACAGCATGGTGCTCTTTGCTCGTTTGATTGATGGTTGCATAGAGCTCTGTAATCTGTATACCAAAGTATACGGAGGGCTATGCTTATTTGTATTGTGTGATGATTCAACGAATAACATGATCCGACACCAGACCGAAACGGTCCTGCTTCTACTCCTACTACGACTTGTTGCTTACCCTGACCTTTATCTGCATTTACTGTGATTAAAGAACTCTTTACATGTGTGACTTATTGGTTAACCCCTCTCTTGTCTCCACACATCTCAAGAAATCGTTCCAAAGCACCACCTGGTAGGAAGTTGACTCTTGGCTCATGACGCTTGGCTAACCCCTTCTCTCCTCCTTCCACAGACCTGAAGAAGTCGTTCCACACGCCACCGTTCTCGGACCGCGTGGAGGTGGACCAGACTGTGGAACTCCGCTGCGTTCCACCGGACGGTAACCCCGTGGCAGAGCTCAGCTGGACCAAGAACGGCGTCACCATCGACGCCAAGCAGGACCCCAACTACATCATCTCCAACGAGGGCAACCTCCTCATTGCCGCGGCGAAACTCTCCGACATGGCCAACTACAGCTGTGTGGCAGAGAACGTGGCCAACCGGCGCGTCAGCCCACCGGCACGACTCACCGTCTATGGTAAGTGCTCGGGGTTGTTCGGGCTACTGGTTGGTCATTCATGGATCCCAGGAGGTGGTCGAGCGAACGGGTAGGTCTGCTTCTAACTGGGGTGTCCTGACTTGCAGAATGTAGAATGCTAAGCGCTTGTGTTAGACATTTAGTGATGTTCACTGTGTGGGGCTAGTGTATCCAGTAATGCTATGCAGGAATCCTACTGGTTGTCTCTGGTGTAACACCTAATAACATCTTGGCGTCGCGGGGTAGGCCATTCGCCATGCCAACTCAGGCATGCCCAATGGACAGTGCCAAGCGCAGCGTTGCAGGTGTCTAGATTCGAATCGGCCTGTCGGACAGGGTCTTTAGCATTCATCGGAGTGGTAATGCGTCCATCTGCAGTCGACTAAAGAGACGTTTCATCTAATGTGATCTCTTGGGCTTGACTCTAGTTAGTACGTCAGAGGTATCAGGTTCGTCACACGGGCAGTTAGTTCTCTTCCCGACCTGTCTTTCTATCCGGTCAAAATCAGACCAAAACTTGCGGCATTTTTCAGTTCCCTGTTGTCTAGCAATGAAGTGAAGTTAGTCTCTGTGCGCTTATAATTCTTGAAAGCAAGAACATGCTGTCGTCCTTGACGGCTATTGCATAGTCTGACACATCCTGGTCTTGCAACATGTGCTACCAACCATGAAAGGGACGCTCGCTGTTTTCACCAGGATTCGGAACTTCTCGATGCGAGGACGTTGATGTCGTTTCTCTTCAGCCGGCATTCTGACACTCATGAATAGCATGTCACTTTTGGACAACGCGGAACTCAGCTTTTTCAGAAATCCGGCATCATAAGTCTCTCCAGTCTGACGTCCTTGAATTGGCGTGTTTTCAACCCTAGTGTGTTGAGTACATCGTCTTTCAAACCTGATCTCCTCTGAGTCTGACTTTTTAGGTGCTCGGCGTATTTGAAACCCAGCGTCTTTCAAGCGTGGGGTCTTGAGCGTTCAACGTCTTTCTAGGCTTGCTCTTTCTCGATCAACGTCCTTCACGGTCCTTTGATTTGCCTTCTGTCCACTGCCACGTCAGTTGAGAGGTCACCTAGCCGTCATCAGCCCCGCCTCTCTGCGTTACCTTTCAATGAATTTCATCACTAGCGGTCGTCCGAGAGGTAGGGAGTGCCTCTAGGGCGCTCGTGCCACGAACTGGCCGGCGGAGGACAGGTTAGTGTCAGGCCGACATCGTCCCGCCCCGTAGGAGCTGTCAACACAGAGGCACGAGACGGGCGGCCGAGGGTTGGGGACCCTGCGCGGCCCCTCTGATATGCAGATAGCCGGCGAGATGTCAGTGCAAGACCATATACATTACAACGCATGGCGATACCCAGACAGGCGGTCGTTGAGCATTTCTGGTTCGTAATATCCAGGCAGCTGCAAGGTAGATGATTGCTTGCATGCTTGTTTTCATGCGAAATGCTTATGAATAGTAATGGCGGTAGGTAAGTATCTAAAATTCAATTAGCTCTAGCCATTTGTCATGCCACAGGCTGATAATTCTCGGATGATTGATTGCCTACAGGTACGTTTATTTGTAGGCATCATTTTTGTGGCCACCGATCAGATGTGTGAGGGAGATTTATTCACATTAGTGAGTATTTTTAGTATGCCCATACTTTCACATTCAACCCGACTTCGAAAGGTGATTGTGTCTTAGCCGCTTAGGTACTCTATAAGCAGATGTATACTTCCTTTCGTTTACTTAGTCATCCGGCTACTTGATAACCAAAGGCAGTCATTATCAACTAAAATGAGTAAGC